CTGTGTGCGCGACTGCCGAGCGCGTGCTGACGGCGAGGTTCCAGTTTTTTACAGAGTGGATTCCGCACCATCAAGATTGCCTGTCTTCGTAGCCTATTAAGGTTAGCTCGTTCCGAGCATGCGCTTTGAACAGCGTCCTCGAACGTGGCGTACAATTAATAGGAGCATAAGTTCATCTGCTTCTTTTGCTTGTGTTGTGGTGACGCCAGACTGCCGAGCTCTGATTGGCTCTGATTGAAATATAGTGGGTGTAGACCTCAAAGAAAGCCGCCTTGAGGTCTACCCGCTATCCTTTCAATCAAGGTCGATCAAAATTGGGCGTCCTGACGTCAGCACCACGCCCCGCCAAAGAAGCAGACGAACCTGCGCTTCGCATACATACCTTACACCGCGGTATACGGACGCAGCCGACGGTACGAACCGATGGGCCAGTCAAACAACATCAAAAGCGTAACGTCACGATGTTCGCCATGTTCCTATTTGTGTTCTATATTATCGAAAAATCAGTCATGCGCATGAAAGATACCGGTGAGTTGTGCCGATAGTACTTGTGTTGGCAGTTGTGTGTGTTCACGTCTTCGACTGCGCCCTAATGCAAAGGATGAAACAGCAAACATACAACCTCGTTCTGGACAGTTGATTTTCTTTTTCGTAATTTTAATAAATGAATTGAAACAAAGGTGGTAGTCTAATGTATACATAAAAAATGAAAGCCGTTACAACTCCCTCTAACGCCGGATTAGAGCGCAGCTTTTGAGGAGGAGGAGGAGAAGGTACTGAGAGAGGGCTACGCCCCTTCTCCTCTCCTGATCGCCCCCCTTTAGGGAAAAAGTTTCCGCTAAATTTAGCGGAAAACATTCTCCGCTGAATTTAGCGGAAACATTTTCCGCCAGATTTAGCGGGAAGTTTTCCGCTAGATCTAGCGGGGAATTGTTTTCGTAAATTTAGTGGGGAAGTTTTTGCGCTAAATTTAGTGGGAAATTTTTTCCGCTAAATTTAGCGGGGAAAATTTTCCGATAAATTTAGCGGGGAATTTTTTACGCTAGATTTAGCGGGAAAATTTATTCGCTAAATCTAGCGGGGAATTTTTTTCGCTAAAGTTTGCGGGAGAAAATTCCCACTAATTTTAGAGGGGAATTTTTCCGCTAAATTTCGCGTGGACAATTTTCCGCTAAATTTAGCGGGGAAAATTTTCCGCTAGATTTAGCGGGAATTTTTTACGTTAGCTTAGCGGGGACAATTTATTTATTTATTTATTTATTTCAAGATTGTTAACCCCTCTTGGGGTCATTACAGGAGAGGGTAAAAAAAATGTACGATAATAAACAAGAGCAGCAAAACTAGAAGACCGCATACATTAAAGGAGAGTGTAAAAATGCACAGAAATAAACAGCAGCAGGAAAGTTTGCCGCTAAATTTAGTTGGAAAAATTTTCTGCTAAATTTAGCGGGGAATTTTTCCGCCAATTTTAGCGGGGAATTTTTTCCGCTATATATAGCGGGGAGAATTTTCCGCTAAATTTAGCGGGGAAATTTACCCAGCATGCACCGCGCTGTTACGCCGACGCCGACGCTGCTCAAGCTGGAAACGGGCGCCTAAGAGCTGCGCTCTAAAAGACTTGTGCAACTTTCATACTCTCAATAGTGAAATAAGTATGCATACTCCAGTCATGTATGGTGTTCCTTCTCATATATAATACATCATACAAAAAGAAGCTTTCGCTGCAGACATGTTGACAAAAGTACACTCTCAATCGTTTCAATCATGTTAGCAGCATGTTTGCGACGTACATACGCGCATGCTTCAAGCAGGTGTACAGACACTTTTGTTTGACCAATGTTACAAGACTGACATACAATGGAGAAACACGCCCGAGATGGGGTCTGTAGGCTGCCTTTCCAGTGGTCTATAGTCACTTTACACACGCGCCAAATTACAGCCGCCATTGCTGACCATCTCTTGTCTTACCGAAATGCCGAGCAACTGAAACGGTGGTTGACGATCCTCTACAAAGGCCGATGCTTTAGAAAAGGACACAGTTGAATCTAATGTGGCAATAACCTGGCCTGCTATGGTAATGATGAAGTGAAATAGACGAAATAAGAGGAAACAAATACTGAAGGTCAGTTATGGCGGCGTCCATGCACAGCTGCTGCAAAGCGTCTATAAGCAGCGTGATCTCGGTTTTTACCCGACACAGGTGCATGCGGAAGAAACCGCTATCTTTGCTCGCTCGGCGCGTGCTACGCGAGGAACTTCACCTCTGGTCACGGTGCCGCTAGTATAGGAAGTATTCACTGGACGACATATTTGTGGGTGCTGTTTAGAGCGCATGCTCAGAACGAGCTCACATCAATGGGCTGCTAAGACCGGCCCTCTTGATGGTGCGGAATGCACGTTGCAAAAGAACTGTGGAAGCAGCCATCAGCACGCGCTCAGCGTTTGCGCACACAGCTATTGACGACGTGCGCGATCGAAAGCGTCACGGTGGTCGGCCTTCCACGATTGGCCGAATGCTGACTATGACGTCAGCAAAGGAGTTCTCATGGACGGAAATAAGAGGAACGCGAGGACTTCAATTTTGACAGTGTTGACAGTGTTGGTTCAAGAACGCTATGATTTCAAGCTTCCGCCGTGCTATACAAACAGCATCGAACTTGCTGTTCGCAAGGTAATGACGTCACGAGAGGTAACCATACGAGGGCGCCACCGAAACATCTCGCCGCTAATGGCCGCCAGTGAATACTCCCTATATATGCAGCTAAAGCGCCCGCTCAGCCAGCACGTGCTTTAGCTGCGACTAGCGGCGAGCTTCCTCGAGCCGCACGCGCCGTGTGAGCAAAATAGCGGTGATAGCTTTCAGCGCACCAAGAGGTGCAATGCCGAAGCCTCTGGAGCGCCGAGCGAAGGGCGTAAACACATCGGAGTAGGCCACGCACCCTCGCCCTTAAGCTCACTTCCAGGCGGCGCAGCCTGTACCACGAGCCACGTGCTCATCTGTTCGCATTTCGTAATTCCCCGATAGTGCATGATGGGGATAAACAACGCAAAAAAAGTTTTGATAGGAATAGACAGCTGAAGTTTCCCCTGAACTCCGAATCCATCGCAGAAGTGTTCCTTCGTGTGCGCATTGAGGCATCCATAAATAATACCACTACCCTAAACAGAAGGACATTGAAACACCCAAGGATGCTACGAGTGCGACTTCATTTGCACATTGAGGCAGCATAGGTAAGGAATGTCGTCACCGTAAAAAGCATGACTTTGAGGCACCCTAGGGTACTACTAGTGTGCCTTCGTGTGCACATTGAGTTAAAGTTAAAGAATGCCATTACCATAAACGAAATAACACTGAGGCACTCTAGGGGAGTGCGAGTGTGCCTTGTGGGCAACCTGGGGATCCAAAGCGTTGGCTCAGGTTGCCCGTCTGCCAAATCGTCAATGGTCATTTTCCCCGTGAGGGGGCCAAGGGCGGTTGGCCACGCGAGCGACGCTCCGCCGCTGATAAAAGACCGTCGCAGCATACGTCTGGGGGCTTGGGATCACTGCGCGGAAGATGAAATAAATAACTGCGTGTTGTTGAAGCAGTGCGTTGTGTCATCCTTCGAGATGGATAGCAGCAAGAGAATTCCTATAGCCTCCACGTGCACAGTGAATCACCTAAATAAAGTATGCCGTCGCCATAAACAGAAGGGAATTGAAACACCTGTTAAGTTTCGAGGTTTTTTTGTTTGTTTTTTGTGTGTGTGTGTGCTTGTTGTGCACGTTCTGTGGGTGATTTCTTTTTTCTGTGCCGAAGGGCGCGGGGTAAAAATTTTATTTGTGGCAGATTCCCTATGAAGCGAACGAGCTCTCTTCTATGGGTCTTTTGACGAGGGCATTTCTTGCGGAGTATCATTGTATTACAAGCCGTGCATGACGCAGTCGGCTGTTGTTTCTTTTCTTTTGTACTTTCGGCACGCATTGCATAGACTTTTATACTTGAACGCAGCACGCCATAAGGCACTGGTGTCTTCTCACGTAGGCACTCGAAATGCACCTGGGTCTGGGCATGTACTCTACCGTGGTGTAGAACACGTGAGCGCAACCCACCTTGAGGCAGCGGACCTTACTCAAGTCCGTACTCAGGATGTTCTGTGTCCGGTCACGTAGTCCGCGAGTGCTCGCTGCTGTGGACTGGGGTGCGTAGGTCCTTACATCTGTAGCCTCTGGGCCTGAGTGTGTGCTGCTTAGAAAGGATGAGGATCCTTCGCTCGCTTATAAATGAGTGCGAGAACCTTCAAGGCGATACGGCTCTGGAACCAAAAATGGCTCAGGGTTTATGCTTTTAACGCAAGTTTTTCTTCTTCTGTGTCTTGTTTGACGTTCTAAGTAAACGTGACTACACTGTTCACTAAATGTCTTTCCAGTCGTAACGTGTTCAGAAGGACCGAATTTTTTTTTTTTTCGTACAACTTGCGACGATTTTAACCATCCTTCGGTTATCATCATCTGAACCTGAAGAAGAAGGAGTTCGCCCCAAAAAGGTGACTACACCCTAAGTAAGAAATGTCATCATCTAACAGAAGGACATTGAGGCAATTCTAGGACACTAACAGCTAGGCAGTCTTGCGGTGCTCATTGAGGCACCATAGTAAAAGAATGCCATCACCCTAAGCAGAAGTACATTGCCTTATAGGTCTGACTTGCTTGCAGTCTTCCCTTCGGTGCACACGCCTGCAAACGCAGGAAATCGAAGGTGAGCGGAGAGAGCCTCCCTCGCCTTCTTGTTAGCATGCAGCTCGCAACAAAGCCACCGTCGCGTCACCGGAGCGCCGACGGTGAACACACACACACTGGGGACCCCCAAGCGTGCCGTCGCCGAAGGGCCCAGCGAAGGTCGGGACCTTGCGCACTTCGAACACGAGACGTCATGCTCGGAGACTCCTCTCCCACCCTCTCGCTTACCTGGCGGTCAAGTAGGCGCGGGGGGTAGCTATATAAGGCGTCGCGACGTTTCTTACCGCCACTCGTGTCTTCTTTCTTGATCTACATCGAGCTCAAAAGGTTTACCAGCAGCCAAGATGATGCGAGTCGCGTGTTTTCTGCTCCTCGCAGGTAAGTGTTGCCGGCGACTGAATCCAAGAGCGCAGAAGGCCGGGGTGGCCCTGAGGCAGTGGCGGCATACTGGGTGACTTCGGAGATAGGCCGGATTATTTTGGGAGGGGAGGGATCGACTCGGACGGAATGTCTAAATAACCGGTTAGAAGCTCACAAAAAAGAGCGCGACTGTTTACCCAAGAGCTGTTCTTTTTCCCTTTGTTTTATCTAGATTTTTTTTTCTTCTAAATGTTAGTTTCTCACTCCTCAGTTGCAGACAGGGAACGTTCTCGGTATCTCCGGAAAGTTTTCGAAGAAACTTATATGAGATAAAAGTGATATTAAAAATAGCTAGTCGCAGATGGTGCTTGACAAAATGAAATATTTATCGCTTGTAGAGGCGAATGACGAAAGTGAACAAACAAATGCAAAAAGGGGATTGTTGTTGTTTTTTTTTTCTGATTGCCACGATTTTTCTTCGTTGATTCAAGAACGTTCAAAGACCTGATATGGTCAAAAAAATAGTAAGGTTGAACTTTAGGGCAACAAATAAATGATACATATCATGTTTACTGGCAAGTTTCACCTACTAGAGTATGTGTTTTCCCCTTGCACTTTATATCTACCAATCGCTCACTGAGGTCGCATTTCGCCTAACCCCGCGATATCACTTGTCTGTAGCGGATGGGTACCGAAGTGGCCGCAGGTTTTTATATTTGATAATAATTCCTTACAGCTGATGAAACGCGAGGTATTTGAGCCTCTTATTATGCGTCCGTTGTCAATGAGGTTACGGCAATAGCCAATAAGAACGCCAAAGAACAAAACACGAAGCAAGAAGTGCGGTCAGAATAAACCACGTCTTTTAAGCTACTTTTGACTATAGATAAAACAAAGAAATTAGAAAGTATACGTTGCGTGTTGCATCTTGCCTAACCACAGTTCCTTTACGCAGATATGCATTTTAAACAAATGGTCAGAGCAAGCGAAACGAATATATGGGGTATAGCTAGCAAACAACCACAGGTAATCTGCTACGCTCCACGCGAGGAACCGAGGGTTAAATTACTAAAGCAGAGGTTAAGGAAAAAATAATTGTATTGTGGGCATGTCTAGAAAACGGGAAATTAGTCGGCTTCAATGGGCGTCTAGTATCGCCCCTATGCATGAGAAATTTAGCTAGTGCACTACTACCACTGCTAGCCTGGGTCTCGAACATGCATCACGCAGCAGACGTGCAAGGGACACAACTTTACTGCAAGGTGCCTACGTTTCATGCTATATATATAGGGTTCCGTGTTTTCGGATAAATCCGTTAAAATACGAAAAGTCACTCGCCAATTACATTATGTCAATACCGATTTATCCCAAAAGCTCTGAATATTGATGTCATAATGGCAAAATGAACATAAAAACACAAAACCGGGATATGAATAAGCGTTTGTTTGTTTTTCCAAAAAAAAACAAGTGGGATCGAATGACCACCAGCATAATTCGTTCACATCACGAGCAAGTCATGTATAAGAACGAAGAAGGACCGAGATACACTGCTAAATTTCCGCGAAGAGGGACCATTTTGGATTCGAAAGTCTTGAAGCGCTGGAAGACAGCGAGGGAGAAAGACATGAGACAACCGCCATCGCGTTGTGTGTTACAAATTCGAAACCGGCAGCTCTCCTAATTTTTATTTTTTCTGCGGAAAATACGTTAGCGTGCCAACCAAGTTCAGTGCGACGAACATCGGCCACACATCCCAGCAAGGCCGAAGTGCTGGATTTGTTACATCACTTACAAGGGGTCAGCGCACCGGGCACGGGTTCGACACTATACTCCGTTTCATCTTATGTTGTACCGCAGCGAAGGCTAGAAGCGCGAGCTCATAGCATTGGCGGCTGCCCTTAGTGCGCGAGAGCTTGTGCCACCGAGATGCGCCCTTGAGCGAGGAGCTCGCGCTTGTAGCCTTTCCTGCGGTACATCATAAGGTGAAACAGAGTATAGTGCTACGCCAGCATTCGGCAGGGACTCGCATTTAATCGGCGAGAACACGGGTCCCGACTGAACGCCTACGCTATGCGCTATGCGACTCCAATTCACAATAGGCGGCGCCACTCGTTTTCCAAAATGGCGGGTTTAGTAAGGGTCGGAGGTGCGTGCCGCTGCTGAACCTGTCTAGTGTGCGGGGTTTACTGTGTGACACAAATTATTTCTGGTAATACTAGAAAGCAGGGGTGTTATGAGCGCAGGTCACCTCTTTATCCTGAAAGCAAAAACGGTATTTAGCGCAATATTTAGGCCAGGAGGTACGTTTTAATTCCGAGCGAAACCGAAACTAACCTTTATTTTGGATTTCATTTCTTGGTATAGATTTAATTTCAGATTCTTTCATAACTCAAAATGTGTCTCACACCGTAATTATTTAGTTAAAGAAGTTGTTCGCGGAAGATTTTCTCCTTTTAAAGGGCTCTTGATTTTTTTTTTCATGCTAGGCGTTGAAATCGCATGTCAGGACATTACAAAAAAAAAATTTCACTATTAAAATGCGTAGCTTTTTCCTTTTTTTTTTTTTTTTTAAATAGAAATACAGAGGCTCAATTCAAAGTTCCCGCCAGTGCACTGTGACGTAACAGCGTACCGCAAGGTGTCGGGGCGGTACACTGTTATGAGCGAACACAAGCGCTGTGTGCTTTCGTTAGCTTTGCGTGTTCCACGCTGCGCGTGCGCGGAACCCAAAATTGCGGTCTTGAATCGGAGCATGGCAACGACGCGCACGCGCAACGTGGAGCACGCCCCCTATAACGCAAACACACAGCGCTTGCGTTTGCTTTTATACGCAATACTCAAACTCTCTACTAAGGTACAATCTCATACCGGCTGCAGCACGCAGCACCACGTTGGGACAGTGAAGAGTGTTGTTTTCATTCGGAAATGACATTTGGCGAGCAATGATCGCGAGCAGTTCCGCCGTGCCCGCTGAGCAGAAGAATCGATAGGACACTCTCTAGAGCGCTTCCCGTTTCCGCCGCGGGAGGGCGAGCGTCGAGGTGGAGACGCGAATAGGGTTCTTGTACGAGACGATGATGCAACGCCACTTCCAGTTCGAAAATCTCACCGGAACCAGGCGGACTTCATGTTGGAGACATTCGTCACTGTTACACTATGTTTAGTGCCCTTTTGGGTCGTGCTCGCGCTGTAGTTTGTCCGCTCACTCGAGGTTTAAAATGGACAGTTGCGCCGTAATTGATTGTTCCAGCCGTGAAAATCGGCGACAAAATGAGGCGACAGTCAGCAGTATTGGTTTCTTTTAAAATTACTGCGATCATTAGGAACCAGGACAAGGCGGCGGTCAAGGGATCGGTTCGGAGTCATCAAGAATGGCTCCGACGAATACGCCGTCCCAATCTCGACCTAAAAGCTTCGTACCAACCAAGGCTTTGTGAGCTGCACTTCGTGTAAGGTGAGGAAACTCTTTGCGATTGACTAAGACAAGGAAACCAGACGAAATTACTTGTGCGGCAGTTCTTGTCTCTTCTGTGCAGCTGGTCAAAAAGGTTGGAGGACCGGCTACAGTGCTTACAAGTTTTGCACAGTATCCCTCAATGATTTCACGTATAGGTAGCGGCAGTAAATTTCTCGTCAGTCACCGTAAATAATTAGCAGAGGACGGAATTCTCGCCGTCCGACGGCACCGTACGCGTGCAATCAAGTGTCGTCCAAGGATGCTAAACACAAGTCACGCTTATTCTGACCAGTGCTCCATCGTCTGCTCGACCCCCCCCCCCCCCCTTTTTTTTTTTTTTTTGATGATCAAACGCGAGGGATGTAAGCGCCAGAACTCTACACTGCTGCCACAATAAGACACCGAATGCCTCCAATATAGCGCCAAGGCACTGATGGCCGACGACAATGTTGGTTTCGATCTTGAGGCTAACCGGAAGTGACATCAGGTACAATGAGCCTATACTTCCTATTTACACTTTAGCTCCAGACGTAGCCGACGCTATTCGAGCTGAAGGCACCAATATCGAACCACGTGAAAAGCGCAAGTCACTGCGTCCTTTTTTTTTCTTAAATGATTGGTTCAGCGATGATATTACACGTAAACACTAGACGAACGCCACGTCGCTGCACGTTTGGAGCTGTTTGATTGGTTGCTTCGGTTCATGGCGTCGGCTGCGAATGTAGTTCGTCTGCTTCTTCCGTAGCCGTCAGAACGCCGAGTTATGATTGGCTCCGATTGGAACGATAGTGGGCAGCTAGCACTGAGGTTTATCCACTATCCTTCCAATCAGAGCTACCCTTAGCGAAAACTAATACGTTTGAAATATACCACATTCTAATTTGAGTGTATTTGAAATACAGTTCATAATTTTAAGTACACGAAAAATAGACCGAAAATATAAACTTCTCTTTTTTTTACTTAGTACTAAAATATACTTCTGAAAATCATTTTAAAATACATTTACTGAAACTACATTTGAAGTTCCCTACATGCGTTTTGAAATATGTAAATACTAAATTAATAGGCACAAAATACCTTTCACATATATTTTTGAAATATTTATTTAATTCATGCAAAATATACTCCAACCCTAAAAAAATGGAGCAATCAAAAATACGTGCAGAATACTCCTAAAATACCTGAAAATCATAAATACTGTTGTGTGATACTCTAAGTACCTTCTGACTGCAATACTTTGGTAGTTTGACTTAAACTACCAAAATATAGAAAAGCTCGCCTTCTAGAAGTTCGCTTCAAGCAGATATGGAGTACACTGAAGCGCCTAAATACAACATTTGATTAGTTTGTCAACTGAATTGCGGAGCATCGCACTGATAAATCAGCCCAGTTTATGTTATTGTTTCCTTTTTTCTATCAAGAAAACACCTGATCAGTTCCTTATACACCAATCCCAAACGGGGTTCGGGAACTACAACCACAACATTTGCTGATGCTGGAAAGCTTCAGCAGGTGCTGTGAACAGACACGTTTGGCGTAGTTTTGTTAGCACAATGTTAGT